GCCGCTCTGGTCGTACCCGTGCTCCAGTCACGTCGAGGGCAGATACACAGCGGAGGGGTTCTCATCCACCGCCCAGATCACAGGGTCTGCCTCCTATGACCCATCTTGACTTGAGGGCCGCCACGGCTAAGCAGGTACAGCAGCTGAGGTTCGTGGACTTTGAGGTGTGGTTCCCGCCGAGGAGAGATGACAGAGCATCTGAGGGTTTCTACACTCCACTATAGGAGGACTTCTACAATGCCTATCTCAACAGTGGGGTAGTTTTCAGATCTCAGAGGGTGTGCCATATTGATTCTATAGTTGCAGCAGCTGGAGAGCACATTCGCCCCTATTTTGCATATCTGCCGGGGCTGACAGATTTGATTGGACGGACAGGATTATATGTTCCATCTTGGGTTCGTCAGTTCTATGCTTCTCTCTTTATTGACCCGCACCATAACTTTATACACTTTGCATTTAGAGGCAGAGACTATCGGCTGACAAGCACTAGGGCCAGGGAGATACTCAGACTTCAAGAGCAGCCTGTCAGACTTCATGAGGTTTGCTATGGATAGACTGCACCTCCTAGACGCCTGCATGGTGGCAATGTGCCCCCTACTGACTTGGTCTAACACTATTTCACAGAGCCTTTTGGCGAAGGGTCGAGGAGGAACCCTAGTGATCTCAATCCTACTGCTCGTGTGCTTGAGGCTATTATGAGGAGGACACTGATTCCTAGGATGGGATACAGAGAGGGCTTGACTCGCATACAGTTGTGGCTGATCAACTCTCTGATGCAGCAGACAGTTTTTGATATCTGAGATCTTATTCTATCAGAGATGGAGGACACTATAGCTGAGGGCTTCAGAGGTCACAGGTAGCTGCCATAAGCCCACTAGATCACTTTTCTTATTCGCATGGCAGTTACTGTGAGGCCGCCAGAGATGCTTGTTGAGTACAGTGGTGCCACCACAGAGTTTCCATCTTATAACATGACTCAGATGATTTGGCATAGTACACCTACAGCACCTAGTCAGTCGCGCCATCGTCCTAAGGTGACAGAGTCTGCAGCCCAGCAGGATGATATTATCAGGGGTATTGCAGCTACTGAGGAGGAGTAGCTTGAGCAGCAGGAGGGAGTGGTCGTGAGCGACCCTAGTGACAGTTCTAATGATGACTACCAGCCCGTCCCTCGGATGCCTCCTCAGCGACATGATCATGAGGTCGGCAGCTCCAGTTCAGCGCCACCTGCCCCGTAGACAGACCCCGCTCTCCTTGCTATACTTGAGCGGATGAGGCAGGACCAGGCACGTCAGGCTCAGGAGACAGCTGCTACTTTTGCGTAGTTCCAGACTCGGCAGGATGAGTTCTAGCAGCAGTAGCAGGCGATCTAGCAGCAGCAGTTGGCCCTACAGCAGCAGCAGCAGGCCATGCATCAGCAGCAGATACTCATGCAGCAGCAGCTTCTCGAATTTATTCAGCATGTAGTGACAGCCATTGGGGCTCCACCGCCACAGCCTTCGCCCCAGCTTGGTCAGACTGCTACTACTTCGATGACTCCAGCGTTATAGCCCAGTGGGCTTTAGAGTTAGGGACAGCCACCAGCACAGTTTGCTTCTCTGACAGAGCATGTGTCCTAGTGGTTTGCTACGTCACTGCCAGCCCCGCAGTTCACACCGTTTTGTACGGGCTTCACACCGGCAGAGACGTCCTCGCTGCTAGTACTAGAGACCTTAGTGTCTAGGAGCCTTGGTGCATCCTTCAGTGAGTTGACAGGGCACCCTACACCGCCAGACCTACATGTCCCTATACCTACCACCATTGCTCCAGTGACAGGCACGACAGAGACGCTCCCTTCTTCCGTGGCATCATTAGAGCCAGCTGCTTCAGTCGTACCAGCACAGCCTTCAGCAGCTCCAGTCCCTGATCCGACCCAGACTGCTTCAGCATCACTTCCAGCTTTAGAGGGTCAGACAGCTCAAAGCTTAGGGTCAGATGATGATGGCACTCAGTTCCAGCTCGCTCCTCGTACCTCAGCGCCCGGCTCGTCCGCTGCAGCCCCGCCGACCGACCCTTAGTTTTTGGTGTTTGACGCCAAAGGGGGAGAGGGATCGAGTATGTTAGCCTTAGGGGGAGCTTAGTTATTATATTAGCTTATCTATTATATTTGGTGTTCTTATGTGTGATACACTATTATGCATTCGTCATGTATTTACTTGTTATGCATAAAACTATATTTATGTGATAGTGATATCTTCGTAATCGTGATATATGACATGTGTGCTCCCTATTTTGAATCATTTATATGTCATATCACTTGTGCTATGCTCATTTGTTTTTGCTTCCGTGTTTCACTCCGATGCAAATGAGCTTTATTACTTGTACTCATGCTTATTTCATATCTTTTGAGTACATCATGATGGCTTGGGTCATATAAGCTTGCCTAACCCTTTTGTTCTTATTGATAAAAGCTTATATGATCCAAGCATGTTAAAAACCTCAACTCATTCACATACTCGAGGTGGTATTGTCATCAATCACCAAAAAGGAGGAGATTGAAAGCATCTAGGCCCCTTGTTGGGTTTCGGTGATTAATGACAATACAAGATTACTATGACTAACGTGTGTTTTGCAGAGGCAATTAAGTTAGGTCATGGTAATGGAGATCGATTGGGCAATCAAGGTGGTCATGCCCCTACGATGGAAATCGTTTCGGTTTTCAACGGATGGACGACAAGGTTAAGAATGGACTAGTTCTAAGTGTCCATTAGAGTTGGAGAGACACTTAGAGTAGTTTAGGACTTTGTTTATACTTTGGCCGTACTATTAAGGGGTATGGACGGGTAGCTTGACCTAGGTGAGTCTAGTGAGTTAGGTGTGGTGCACACTTGTTAAAACTAGCACTAGTTAGCTCCAAAATAGCCCTTAGATCCAATGGAGCAAATTTCATTCACGTATGATCGAGAGTTGGAAGTGAATGGAGGGTCAAATACTGACCGAACGCTGGTTCCGGGTTGACCGGACACTGGCGCAGAGTCCGGTCAGTTCATTTGACCAAGGTGATTGCGTTTGGTTTGACCGGACGCTGAGAGGTCAAGTGACCGGACGCTGAGAGGCAGCGTCCGATCGACTCTAGTAAGGTTCCAGAGAGGGAAAATTGCGACCGGACGCGTCCGGTCAGTGCTGATCGGACGATGCCCAGTGTCCGGTCACACTGTAAACACTGGAGTTAGGGGTGTACTGACCGGAGCGTCCGGTCAACATGATCGGAGCATCCGGTCACCCCGCAGAGACACATAACGGTTCGTTTTTCAGCCCATGTTATAAATACTCCCTCTACTCGTGTGTGGGGATACTTTTGCTCATTCCAACAGCTGAGAAACACCTTAGAGAGTGCCAAGAAGAGTAAGATACTAGTGAGGTGATTGAGATTTGAGAATCCCAAAGAGAGCTCTCATTAGCAAGATCAAAAGTAGCAAAGTGTGCATCCACCCTTCTTATTAGGCTTGTCGTGGTCAAGTGAGAGTTCGTGCTTGTTACTCTTGGTGATCGCCATCACCTAGGCGGTTTAGTGGTGATTGGGAGCTTGGTGATCATCCGGAGAGCTTGTGCATGACGCAACTCAAGTTGTGAGCGGTTGTGGATGATTTACCGCGACGGAGTGTCGAAGAATCAACCCGTAGAGAGCAATTGATCCTTGCGCGGATAAGGGGGAGCTACACCCTTGCGCGGGTGCTCCAACGAGGACTAGTGGGGAGTGGCGACTTTCTGATACCTCGGTAAAACATCGCCGCGTTTCCTCTCCTCTCTTTACTTTGAGCATTTACTTTGAACAATTCAATTCTTGTTTTTACATTCATAGAATTGTCATGCTAGAGTAGGATTGGAACTTAGGTTGCAAGTTTTTTGTGCAGTAGAACAACTAGAAACACTTTCTAGGTACAAGAGGTTAACTAAGCTAACCATAGGACTTAATTATTATAAAGAAATTTAGAATTAGCCCAATTCACCCTCCTATTGGACATCTTAATCCTTTCACAAACTGTTCTTTGCTTTAAGGAGAGCAAACTCTCTTCCGAAGATGGTCTTGCAGTAGGGAATGGAAGGCTGTCTGAAAATAGCATCATTTCTAACTGTTCAGATAGCCCAGTACATTGTTACAATGATCTCCATAAAAAAAGAAAGCTGCAACTGGTTTTTGAAAGAAACCAAGGTTCCTAGAGGATCAGCTGGCTGCTGAATAATCAGTTGTAGAGTAGCCCAGCATGATGTTGAGAAAGGACAGTCTAAAAACAGATGGATGAGGGACTCTTCCACAGCTTGATTACAGATAACACAATTGTAATCATCCAATTCCATACGTTTTCTGTTTAGAAGATCTCTGGTGCTAAGCCGATCCTTGAGTAACAACCAGAAGAAAAACTCTCTTATTCTGACAACAGGATTTTCAGAGCCAAGAAAAAACAGGATGAACCTGTCTTGTACCAGTGAGTTGCACATCTTTCTTTGGAGCGAAGATGTTAGAACCCCAAATGTATGACCAAGAATCAAAACCATCTTGTAAATCCAAGGACTGCACAATTACCAAGAGTTGAGTGAACCGCTGATAGGCTTCTTCAGACAATGGTAGGTGAAAGAGATCATGGTAGGTGAAAAAGCTTCATTCTTGTGCAGCAACAGCCAGCTGCAGATTGGCCTATACAGAACTACTACGGAGAAATCTACAAAGCGATCATGGTTATTTCAGAGACCAAACGCTTGATGCTACCGCTGCAAATCTGCAACGAATTTCACTGAGACGACATACCAAGATAACTTTGGAGGGAACAAAGCTATATAGGAGACACATATTGACAAATTTTTCAGTCAGGCGATTACTCTCTGGATCATGTAAGGACTCGTTGATCGATCACATAATCTCTCCCTCTTCACTATATAATTTACAAGTTGCTCTTCTGGAAGCCACAACACATCGAAGGCAAGCTGCTCTCTCACTATACATCATGAAAGCCGTGATAAAGCTACAGTTGTGATTCAATATCGTTTCCTACCCTGTTGTCGCTGTGGCGGCGCCCAAAGCCAATGGCTGGGGGAGTGGTCGTCGGGGCGACGTCGATCTCAGTTTTGCAGAGTGGGCACAGCGCATTTATCTTGAGCCATTTGTCGACACAGTCCTTGTGGAAGAAGTGCCCGCAAGGGAGCAGCCGGAGATCATCGTTGTCCACATACCTCGCCAAGCAGATGCAGCAAACCTGCCGACCAAAGGACGCGAGTCAGTTTTACATCATGCGCAAGAGGAGATATATATAGGTGTGAAGTAAACATGAGGGGCGGGCAAGAGAAAATCTCACAGCATCTTCAGCAGAAACAGCCCGTTCCTTGTCTGTTCCAGGAGCAAAAACTCCACTGCCAGCTTCATTTCCCTGCCCGTTACGAGGCTTCTTTGACTTGAACTTGTATGTGCCCAGGGCATTGATAACATCTGAAGTAGCACCGCTGTTTTCGCTCAGATCTTCCCGGAAGCCCATTAAAGAGATTATGTAGGGTAGGCAGCAGCATATCAGCGCACAGAGAATGAAGGGCATAGCATAGCCAATGTAGCTGAACGTGAGGAAGGCTATACACAACCTGAAAACATGAGTACAGCATGAAACATCTAGATAAGTTGCAAAGGTACTGCATCATGGCAGGTTAGCAGCACACCTGTACAAGTTGGGTGCATCATGGGCAGAAGAATGTCCACCAAATACCCACACGTTTCCCACAACAAACCATACAGCGAAGAAACAGTCCAGAGCCATCTTGAAGTAATCAGCGAAAGCTTGGGCCCTACAACAAGGAGAATGCAACTCAGAGAAAACTAACCAACAAAATATTACGATTCTGATGACCTTTGTTGATCTAACATAGGTATACTGCAATGAAACCAGAACAATGGACTATAAAATGTTAAATAGGTTACTGCAATGAGTTCTTTTACTTGCCATGTGCCAAGTGCCAAGCTATTTCCATTTATTTTTTATCAGTCATACTCCTGAACCAGGTCCACAAATTATATGAACTGTTACTTCTTGTGGGCAAGGAAAGTAACTACAGAAGACCTCTGATTGCATGAAAATACATCTTGCCTGATTAATTCTCTTTGTAATACCATTCAGGGCTCAGTGCATCAGTTCGTTAATAGCTCATATGTAAAGTATTAAACCTCATGCAACTTATAGCATATTTCACAGATATAGACACTTGATGATGAAAGAAAGATCAATATATAAACAGAAGCAACAATATGTATCTACAAGGTACAGTATGTTACCTTGGATTTGTGGTAACCGTATTGTTTCTCGAGACTCCATTTGTTACAGTTACAACACCAGCCTCAGACACATGAGGGGGCGAAATCCCAGTAAAAGAATTACTTTCAAAGCTGTTGTCTGGAACGTAGTTCTGATTTGATCCTTGCACAGTGGGAAGCTGGTTGCGTTGGAGATAGCGCCAGTAAAGATGAGGAAGAGTTGCAATACAACCTATTGTATAACCAATGACCCACTCAAACAATGGAGCATGAGGATGTTCATTCCTTGACACAGACAGAACGCAGATAGCAGCTATAATCTGGCTAAGATTTACGACTAGTTCAATTGATATCCAGAAGCCAGAATTCAGACTGTGCTGACGGCGACGGCGATTATCATCTCTTCTTGCTATAGGAATATTCGGAGAGTTAGATGCAGCAGTTGTTCCGGAAGAACTTTCTGAATCACGAGGCAATTGATCCATGCCATCATTATTGTGTCGACGAGGTGTCGATGTAGAAGCAACATCATCCCTTGGGATGCCAATCACATGCTCCATGAGTAAAGGATGACTATCTGTTTCACTCTCTTTCTGATTCAACAGGAGGAACATCCATCAACCAAGAGGTTGCATGGGAAATTACTGGTTGCTGTTCCCAGAGACAGAGATGTTTTGGTTTAAGATAAAAGTAGCAAAATGCACATTTCACAAGATAATGTACTTTGCTCTTCCCCCTACAGTAGAAGATCAGCTCTACTCCACCTGAAAGAAAAGGAACGTTTGATATCAATAAGCTGTTTAGCACTTTAGCTATCTCTTTTTAATTAAGGAAGTCGATATCTTTATGAAGATACTCATACAGGTAACAACAATGTACTGCTAATATGTAGTATAGGCATCAAGATCGACCCAAATGGATGCAAATTTTGCAACTCGTTTTGTATCAGCTTTTGCAAATGTTGTATGTCATGGCAACTTTAGGAAAAATAAGGAAATATTTCTCGTTCATTTAAGCATCTTGAGATACGATATATTGTTCACTACAAGATATATTGTTCACTACAAGACAGGATTGAAATGGCACAATAGACCATGTGTCAAAATCCAGTTTCTCAGAGGTAGGTTTGAGGCTCATATGCCATATTCTATCCTTTAAGGTTACTGACTTTGTAATTCATCCTAATAGCTTGAGTCCTGTGTGGACATGCAAATTTCTGCAGGAAGGATTCTCATTGATTTCTACATACGCAGTAGTTGTAGAATACTAAGATAATCCTTAAGGGATCCACAAGTTAGGAACCTGTGAACATACACTTCAGCTACAATTTTAACTTCAAAACCAAACCTGGAGAAGACCCTGACTTTGAAAACCCACATCCACAAATTCCAATGACGGAAGAGTATGCAGTTCAACTTAGGATCTTAAGTTTTTCTCAAAGAATAGAACTAAATCAATCTTTGTATATGGTGACAGCAAAAATCATGCCTACCAAAAGGTCAATCTAAAGAATAACATGGTAATTATGTCCTCCAAATGATTATGAAAATATTGCAAGAGACAAGAACCCCTGGAGCGGCACAACAAACCATCTTGGCACCACATTTTGTCCACTAATTGTTAGTTCCACAAATTGCTAGAGACTAGCTAAATGCTAAGTTCACCAGCCAGCAATCCAATCTAAGAAAGAAATTATCACACACTCCTGCCTCCGAAGAGAAATGGAAGCTCCCGACCAAGAATCGCCTCACCAACCACGGGCAGGAGCAGCTCACCCCGGCCGCCTGAAAGATTCAAGAACCCGTGAACGACCAAAGCCACCGAGAAGAAGCGCAGCTCCCAGGTTCCAGAACCAGACCAAACAATCACCTCGATCGCTTAAAGCCGAACGAATCAGCGACTATCTTGCTCCCAAGATTTTGCAATAAACAACCGCAAAGGAAAATCGCCGGGCGAGAGTCGCGGAAGCAAAGATTTGCGCCGGGGGCAAGGAAGGAACGGGTGCCAAACCCATGGATCAACGCAAACGCGCTAATATAAAAGGAAAAAGATGATAAAAACACGGAAACATCGCACTAGCGGAAGGGGAAATTTTTACCTAAGCGGGAGCTCCAAGACTTGGACTTGAATGCTTCCTCCTCTTTCCCTTCTCAGTCTCCAGCGGCGGTGCGTCAACTTTTATATATATAGAATTACAGTTTAGCAGCCGGTCATAGAATAACTTATTCTGTGGCCACTTTGAGTTACGATAATTACTATACTAATTTATGAGATTAGAGTAATCTTTTACTAGGTGATTTACTATAATATTATTGTAAATATCACCGTGAATTCTATGGCCACAGAATTCCATAAATTATTGTAAATACATATTCATGTTATCGTAAATTGATACAAATATTATTGTAAATCAAAGTAGTTATACAATAAGTTATTCTGTGGCTAGCTGCAGAATAATCTTACTCTATATATATTATCGTTAGATATAATCTTTTTGTTTCTGAGAGAGAGAATCTTCCAACGGTGAGGATCTCGTGTGGACGCTCGATCAGGAGTTGTGGAGCGACACGTGGCAGGAGGGCGATGGCTGGAAGGGGCCGCTCGGTGTCTGTTCGGCGCAGGAGATGAGGCCATGAGGGGAGTGGATTAGTTGGGTCGGTGATTCATCAGCATCTAGTACGGTATAATAATGCAGGATTAGGAGTAGCGTTCCGGTAAATATTTTTCTTGTTTTTTTCCTTTTGTCAGTGGCATTGCAATATAGGATTAGCCCCATCAGTTGAAAACACGTGGGCAGTCAGCACTGTAATCAGTAGAAAAAACATAGTGCTAAAGTTTACCGATTTATTAATACTCTCTCGGTCTTCAAATAAATCAAAATCAATTCCTGAAGTTGTCTTTTATCCAATCATTTTTAAATTTAATTGAACTTAAGGAAAAGAGCATCAATATTTATGAACTAAACGAGTGATGTATCTAATGATAATAAATTAATGTCATAAATATTAGTGTTTTTTTCTATGATTTTAGTCAAGTTTAAAAAGATTGACTTAACACAACTTATAGGTTGATTTATTTAGGAACCGAGGGTGAAGAGCACGGCTGGACAACACTAGATGAGCTGGCTAGGTCAGATATAAGTGTTAGTGCTGGGGATTCAACCTTTAATAACGCTGTCTTCGAAGCCGGCTAACAAGTTTTGACTAATGTGTTTTCAAAGCCGCAAATTGTCCTTCTTGTTCAGAAGAGACTTCGCATTGTGAAAAAACAAGGGAGAACCTTCGGAAGTATTCGGCAAAGTCCAAAGATTCTACTCATGTAAACCGCTGTCCCCTAGTGACGGTCTTGCAATCTGTAACAGGTGATTTAATCACCATCAATGCAGCTCAATGCTACTAATAATAAAGTTTGTTTTTATCAAAAAAAAAGAGTGAAGCTGAAGACGAAAAGGTGAAGTCAAAGACCGAGGGTCAAAGGTTGCAAACCCACTTCGGGTTGAAGCGAAGTCAAGGAAGAATGAAACGAGGCCAACTTGACTCAGGCCCACAAAGACTCATCACCAAAGACTGTCTCACCTGGCGAAGCTTGACGGACGAAGTAGAAACACCATTCTAAATATGTAATGACCGGACCACCATTTTGAATAGAGAAGGCTAGACTTGAATGTAATAGCATATTCAGGGGTAGAATGGGGATTGTAATAGGATTGCCGAATACTCCATGCCCTATAGATACCTCCTGACATGTACTTTTACCGGAAATGAAATTCTTATCCAATAAAGTTAAATTTACTCTTTGATGCCTGAGTGATTATTCACCAACAGTTAGGGTCGTTTATTGATGCAACAGGTTACAAAATGAACATCCTTTGAAATAACACATTAATTTTTATGGATTGGTATTCATATTTCTTTTGAAAAATAAAGAGAAGTGGTCTATATATAGTTCTCCTAAGTAGGTCGTGTTTAGCTGTTTTATAAGCTAGAGCCAGAGATGTTTTAGGTCTATTTGGCACAATTCCGACTCTCGCACTAGTAGCAATCTCTACGGAGAAGCTCTAGCAAACAATTAAGGAACCATTTTGGGATGAACAGTAAAGGAGCCGGAGCTATTCTGGAGTAATTAGGAGGACTTGAGGAGGAGCCACATGCCTCCGGCATACAGGGTTTTGGAGTTCAAATTAACAAATGACATCATTCGCCTTCCACCACCCGAGAGATTACTTTGCTAAGCATAGCATGCCTACCTTCGAGCAAGTATCAGCCTGTTTGGGAGGCCGTATCGTATCGTGGATTATTTACTGCTGGCTGGTTTGGTGTGAGAGAAAAACACTATTTCTGATTGAAAATTTACGATCATTTACGAGCAAACGAACAGGCTGTATAGTGGTGTCTAGTCAGTAGGCTGAAAGCTGCTCCACGTCAACAAAATCTGAGCTAGATGAGAGAGAATGGAGGCATGGAGCAGGCGATAAACTTGTCGCCCGGCTGAATCACGGGTTTCGAGAAAGAATCGTCAGACTTCCAGCCCGAGGAGAGAGATCGAGCGGCTGTTTGCTGGCATGCCAAATGGTCCTCCCTCTGGCTGGACTTTGCTACCTTTCCATCAAATCTCTACCATACGTACTCTACTATGTGTGCCGGTGAGTAATTGTTGTGGATACAAGATCTATATTCTGAACTTGTTCTGTTCATTCCCGTCAAGTGTGATGAATGGCCACAAATATATAGCTTACAAAGGATCCTAACACATGTAACAATTAAGACTTTGTTTAGTTCTTAGGTATAAAGTTTTGAGGTGTCACGTTGGGCGTCACGTCGGTATTTGGATACTAATAAAAAACAAACCGCAAGACCGAATTTATTAAGCCTAATCAATCCGTTATTAGCACATATATAACTGTAGCACTTTATTGTTAAATCATGGACTAATTAGGCTTAAAAGATTCGTCTCATAAAGTAGTCAGAATCTTTGCAATTAGTTATTTTTTTAGTCTATATTTAATATTTCATGCATATATGTAGACATTCGATAGGATAGGGTGTAAATTTTAGAGGATGAACTAAACAAGGCCTAAATTAATGAGTCTTCTGTAAAGCCAATCTAACAGCAAGCGTAACAGCCTATCCATTATACGAGCGTTTGGGCCTGCTGACTGAACGTGACATGGCATTCTTATACAGCCAGCAGCTGGCTGAGTTATTAGGCATGCTCTTATCGTATTTCATCCTACAAGCTTGGCGCACTTGTTTAGTGACATGTTGCCTTCAGATGATGCACCAAGATATTATTGTTCCCACGCATTTGATTCGAGTTGCGCACTTTCAGGTACAAGATGCTACTCTGATGCAGCACTGTCACCAGACTGCCCTACTGGCAGCCGCACCATTGTTCCCTTGACTTATAAGTTGGTTTGGGAGTTTTCATTTACAAACCGACAGCACGCGTCTCCATCTTCATCAAGGCCCTCCCAACGGCACTCTCTGTCCTTCATGCAGAGGCAGCAGCCATAACTCTATACAGACTGGGCGCGTGTTTAGTTGGACCTCAAATTCTAAAAAGTTGCTACAGTACCTGTCACATCGAATGTTTACGGTCTATGCATGGAGTATTAAATATAGACGAAAAAAAACTAATTACATAGTTTGGTGGAAAATTACGAGACGAACGTTTTGAGCCTAATTAGTCCATGTTTGAACACTAATTATCAAATAAAAACGAACGTGCTACAATAACCCCAAATTCCAAGTTCCTGGAACTAAACACGCGCTGGGTGAAGCAAACTTCATATCTGACAATGAAGTACTGGTCAAATCGTTATCTCGTCAACAGACTGCGGTGCAACAAGATTGGAGGCTCAACCGCTCAAGCCCCTTCTGATGACCTTCTCATCCATCACAAAAGCTACTCGATACAGGATCTTCAATATACACAGATCACAAAAGCTACTCGATACAGGATCTTCAATATACACAGATCACAAAATGTGACAGCACACTCTTTGGCGTCACAAGCTAGAGCTTCTTCTATCTCTAATTTTGTATGTTCAAACCCCTATCATAGAGGATCCTGTCCGGTTCTGGACACCCTCCGGAATGTAATCTGGAAGAACGTAACTCTCAGAAGTGTACAAGTTCATGCATACCGCTCCTTGTATATAAAAAAGTGCTGACCATGGTTGGCCAGCAGATCGAACGCGACTTGCGAGTATGACTTGCTTGCTTGAGTAACTAATGACCCGTCCACGCAGCTAATTCAGCAAAAAAGCGTAGGGCATTCACAGAGGCAGACCAAGATTTACTGTTTTGCTGTAGGCAATTAGAAATGCGGTGTAAGAGTTTCATAACGATGTAAAAAGAGTGCATAGGAATAACATACCAAACAACATCCATTAATGACAAATGCCAATGATAACAGGTCAGGATACCAAAGTACCAGTCGCCCAGTCGGCTCTATCAAGTTTGGGAATATTAAGAGTATTTCCGAGAAGGCCTACAGAGAGGCTGGCACAGCAAAGTGGAAACCACAGTTTTACAGGTCTCAAGTTACCTCCATCGAGGGCCTCCCAGTCTGATGACCTCCTCAGCGCATGAATCACGGTGAAGCTTTTCAGCATCACTGTCTTCCTTCTTCTCAGTTATGTCACCATACAAGTCCTTCAGCTTTGCTAGGTTGCTTAACACAGTGGCTGCCTTCTCTTTATTCGCATCCCTGAATGGGCTGGATCGCTGCTCATTCCGGTTCCGACTCCAGCTCCGGCTTCGGCTCCTGCTTCGACTACGACTTCTGCTTCTGTGGTGAGAGCTAGAGCGCCTGTGCCTGCTACTTTCACGATCTCTTCTGCCATCCTGTCTTTCTTCTGAACGTCTGGACCTGTAGTACTCACGATCCCTGCTATCACGCTCATGGCGACGATAATCTCTGACATCCTTGTCACGGTCAAGGTCCCTGCTTGAACGATACTGGTCCCTGCTTGAACGGTCTCGGTCTCTGTCACGGTCACGACTAGAACGATCCAGTTCTCGGTCAGAACGATCATGGTCAGGACCCTCACGGCTACCACTGCGCCGAGATGGTGAGTATGATCTTCGATGATCATCATGGGTGACTGTTCGCCGAACTGGGGATGAATCTCTGGTGGAAGCCCGATGTGGAGCACGCTGTCCAAAGGAAACCGACAGAGAAGCTTTCACTGAAGGAGGACGACGTGCAGTATCTTCTGATCCCTGACGACTGGAGTCTCCAGTTGCCCCAGAAAGCTTAGTGGGCAATTTCATCTTCTCAAGATTGGCTGTAATCTGACGAGTCACTGGGAGAGGAATTCTTGGTAGAAGACTATCAAAGTAGTACTGCATCATGAAAGGAAAACAAGGCAGCACGCTGAGAAGTATAAGTTTACACTAGAGATTGGAGCGGCTTAAAATGAACCATTAGTCAACGTTAAACGATGAATAAAATAATTCAAGTCATCGACGATGATACATTACGTGAAAACCAGCAAAAAAACATAAACAATAGATTTTACTCCATGCAAGATACTAGTCAAGGGAAAGTTTGAAGAAAAAAATATAATATGTTATGGAACCATGACTAACTGACCAAAAAAGTAGTACCCTTAATTAGCATATAAATTCCTAAGACACAAAAAATGAATCTATGACTTAGAAAATGTTCACATACATTAACATATCTGAAATCACCATGACATAGACAAGTAATCATATATATATAAAAGTACTGCTCTGTAGCTGGCTATAGAATAACTTATTCAATGGCCACTTTGAGTTACGATAACGACTGTACTAATTCACAAGATACTGTAACTCCCTCCTAAGTGATTTACTATAACATTATGGAAAATATCATCATGAGTTATAGTAACACATGTATCGTAAATATGTGTTCACTTTACCATTAATTTAGTGCAAAGATTATAGTAAATCAAGGTGGCCAGCAGAAAGCCAAAAACTCTAGGAAGCACATGAAAACGTGGGCACAGAAACTGATCAGAGAAACAGTGTGCTTATTTCCATTCTGAATGCAGAAGTTACGAAACAGACCTGTCCAAGTATAAGATCACGCACATAAACACCCATGGTTGTCTTGCGGCCATTAGATCCAGGGGAGAACTCCTGCGCCACAAAAAGAATTGCAAATTCAGCTCTGATTCATACTCAACAGTTCCTGTAGCACATGACATTACATGGAGACTACCATTCCACATAGCTTATGCCAAAGTGCCATAGACAAATAGTCAACAATAATAACAAATTAAGTAGTCCCAATCAAGCTGGGGTATGCTAGAGATGCAACCCAAGAAGGAAAGAAAGAAAACAAACTGCTAATTATAAAAGAAGCAACATAGCACAAATCATAAATAAATGTTCCTTTATATATTTTTTTCCTCTGTATATCACCCTTAATCAATCTACTTTCAATTCAATACAAGTCACATGGCAATTACAGATTTACAGTGGAACATTCTTATATCAAGTTGACAAATAATCATTCTCCAGGTATCAAATGGAAGTCCTATAAAGTGATGAAAGAGTACAATAATAGCAAAATTATGTGGTTATTTACTTACAAGTTTGAGGGCATAAAAACATGAACAAGCAATTAAAAAAAGGAGGGAAAAGTACCGTACCTCATCATCCCTCAAATAGGGCTCATACCACGTCCACAGAACCTTTGGGTCTGCAACATACCGAAGATACAAGAAACCAATCTGCACCAAATAGCGCCAAATGGTCATTCACCACAAAATATTTTATTATTTAACAGGCTAAGTAAAGACAAACAAAAAAAAACAAAATGCTCACAACTCCAAAGCACAGACTGGTACACTATGAACTTCTTGCAAACTTTGTCATCCCCGTGTCCTAGGACCAAGAAATTCAAACACAAGTCCATCCAAAGAAACAAGTTGTAGGACTGTTAGTGGCTATAACCAAAATGTAAGCACAAAATTATGCATAAGTGACTCGCAAGGAATGTAAGATTTTTCATTGCAAAAATACCACTGAAATAAGTTTCATAATCACCCTGATAAACATCTGGGTTCATGCACTAACCTCATGCCTAATGAATAGATATGGGGCCATGAAGCAAGACATTCAGCATCAGCAAACAGAAGGGCAGGAAACAGAAACTTACAGCTCTAATGTATGGGGAGTCAAGATGCTTCAACAAACCGTGCATCTGTTTGACAGTAAGCTTCATGGTGAAGAACTTGTATAGAAGACAGAATGCAGTGGAGGGGCCTCTGCAATTGCCAGTCATCCAAGGCTCCACATGTTCGACAGTGTTGTAGATCTCATCGATGACCTCATGATAGGTCTTCAACCTATAGAGCTCCTTAAAGTAATCAGAAGACAGAATGTTCATGCGAAGAACCTTCTCCATCAGCACATCAATGGGCTTCCCTGAAGTTTGTATCTCCATTGTCCAGAAAAAATTTCAATCTCAATCACAAAGATCAATACGGTATATCCTCCTATTCCAAAGTTTATGTAACCTGCAAACAGCGAAGTCAGGAGATAAGAATGCTATGGAAAAAACCAAAGAGCGAACAGATAAATTTCTGCTAAAAGCCTAAAACAGCGGGGTGAGCGTATACAGAATTACGGATCATTTGTTTCCAGCGAAGCAATCTAGTGAAAGGTCCTTTTCCTCGACCTATATGGCTGAAACCACCACATTGCCTCGCATTATCCCAACATGCCAAACCTAAACTTGTGTCGCTTATGTTCCAGTATGTTCATACTAGGGAACAGAACAAACAACGAAACCATACTTACATTCATATCAAAATCCAACTCACAGCTAAAAGGATAACATTCTTTTCACAACATCCAAACTCATATATACCTCATGGTACACATCCAATTGATTGAATTATCAATTATACAAGGCCTATATAGTAACCTTCATAACCCATTTGAGCATGAATAGCCTACAAAATTTAGTGAAATGCTCAGATCTTCCACTGTAATGATGATTCTGCATATAGCACTGCAACCCTAGCCCAACTTAACCAGACGATTCCTTCACCGTTTACCTTTCGTGGTGGTGCTGCAGATGTTTGCGTAGCCCTAACCCAACGAAACCTGCCAATTCCATCACCCCTTACGACTCTAGCAGCACAAAAAAACCACAAGTGCGTAGCGAATCAATTCAACCGGAAACGGCCCGAATCCATAACGGATTAAACGTGCGCAAAATTCCTACGAATAAACCGCTATCGTCGCAGCACCAATCCACACGGCAAACAAAATCCGCAGCAGACGGGGACCGGGCGAGTGAAATCCACCACGGCGGCTACTTGGGCTCGACAGAAGAGCCCGCAGCACGGGACTGAATCCTACAGCAATCCATCCAAAAGCAAGCTAGGGTTTCCTTACCAGCAAAAGAGGGAACTCTTTCCGGGTCCCGACGGATCTTCACGCCACGCCGGCGGGCCCGGTTGAGAGGAGGTGGAGGAGGAGGAGCAGCAGCAGGGCGACAACGAGGGTGACGGCGAGAGGAGGACTCCGTCGAGGTCGGTGGCTTTGGCGGAGGCGGCGTGCGCGTTCGCCGGAGCGGCCGCGAGGGGAAGGATAAAGAAGAGGATTATTCGTTAGGGGTAGGGCCGCGATGCGAGGCGGCCAGGCCAGGGGTATTCTAGATATTTCCCATTTCAGTTTGCTCTTTTTTAATAAAAAGGAAAGAAGAAGCAGCAGCAGCAAAGAGAACGGAAAACGGTGAACTTCATCGGGTTTTTTTTTTCACAATTGTGATTTGAATGGTAGACTGCTCTTTACAGCGGTATTTGACGTACGAATTAGTGCTGCGATTACGAATGACGGTATATTAGGAGGGTTCGTTCATTATACACGTGAGCTGAGTGCAGTCGAAACTTAAATTGTACACCAACCTTTTCATGAAAAAAGTACACCAAATCATCGACTGTACCCAAACTGAATCAAGCCTCCGAAGCGCATGGGTGATTAATAGATATTTGGTTCGGCGGACCGCTCAAATTAGAATCATCTGGTCCTAGCACCAAACCTCATCGGGACAATTATTGTTGACGTCAAAGTGACTGTCATTCGCTAGCGGATATCTACTTTTGAGCATTATTCTAGGAAATACTTTGGTTCATTGAAATTAGGCCACATGATATCGTGGCCCGGTTACAACCGGTTGATAAGAGAGAAAACTTCATTTTGGACATCCGCGCGCCTCTGAACCACACTTGGGTCCGCCTCCAACCTACTCTGGTTAGAACCATAAGAACCGGCCCCGACTCGGCTCGCCGCGGAATCTTGCTCGCGCGGCCGCCAGCGGGACGCCGAGACCTCACGCCGCAGCAGACCTTGCACACAGCCAGACCTCGGGCCGCCGCCGGGACCTCGCGCCGCCGCGGGCGTGACCGCCGCCGCCGAGGAAGTGGCGCTAGAGGCTGAGATGGAGGGGCGCGGAGATCCTGGAGCTCGCGCTAGCGCTGGCTCGACGCAGGGCGCGGAGAATCCCGCGCGGCCACCCAGCGCCGCCGCCCTCGCGCTCCCACTGCGCGCCTGCCTCCATCGCGGCCGCCCCATTGCTCGTGTGCCGTCGCCTAGCACCACCGCCCGCGTCGCATCCCGCACCACCGCTCGCCGCGTGTGTCGCAACCGCCGTGTGCGCCTCGCCCTGGCTCGCGCCACGCGCCTCCACGTTCGCGTAGGCTCACCCCAGCGAGCGGCGCCACGGCTCCTGAATGCCCGAGGAGCGGTGGAGGGCGCGGCGAGAGAAGTGGGGCGACCGAAGTCAACGGGCCAAGGTTACGCCGGCCCGGTTCGGCGAGCGGCGGTGCGGCGGTGGCCGACAGTCTCGGCGGCGGCTGTTTGCGGGGCCGAGGTGGCGGCCCTTGGCTTTGACGTGGTCCTCGTCGGGGCGTCGTGGCTGAGTACTCGGCTTTAGATGCCGTCGGGCGGACTGCACCTTCCGTTCCTTCCCGTCGTCCGCGCGCAGTAGGCAGGGAGGAGAGAAAGCAGAGCAGCGGCAGGGCAGAGACGAAGGGAGAAGCAGAGCCGAGCAATGGCGGGGATGCGGTCCGATTCCGGCGGCAGGGAGAAAGGGAGAGAGGAAGAAGAAAGCAGCAGTGGCTAGAATATTATTTCACCATTATTCTCTCTCCTCAACCGGTTGCAACCGATCCGCGGTGTCCTGTGGCCTAATTTCACCAAACCAGAGTGTGTTCTGGTAAAATGCTTCAAATTGAGTATCCGTCGGCAAAGGACCGTCACTTTGATGTCCAACAGACAATTATCCCAACCTCATACGAGTGTTTTGGTTGCATCTTCAATTCGTGTCATTCGTCACCAAGTCATTCCATTTAGTAACTCATACAAGGCAAGAATCAATTCGTTCCTTAAAACGAAGCACGGCTTGACACTGTATGTATTCAATGAACCGGTGCTGGATGGAGTGAACCCACGGACCAAACATGTTATAATTGATTATCCAATCACTAAAGTAGTTGTTCCAGAAGCGCAATGTATGTATATGTTTTAGATAAGGTCGATCCTATGGTTTATATGGTTTATATGCAATGAGTGTTTATATATAATAGTAAATATGTTCGTGCGTTGCAACGGGAAAAACTATCTAATGTTAAGGTAAAACAAGTCTTGCTAGAATTTTTTTTCTTTAGTCATAAGGCACAAAGATGTACTCATAATGATATCATAACTTTAACTTTATAGTATCCATGTGTTGGTAGATATGAGTTTGGTGACTTTTTTGAAGGACTCATAAAAATTTGTCGAACCAAATTTTCTTCGGTTATTGTGATTGCTCAATATCAGGAACCAAATTTTTCGTTTCCAGTCCTTTCGATTTTGGTTAATTATGCTCAGGCCTACAAACTTGTATAGACGCGTTTTGTCTTAGAATCAAACTCTAGATAGTGATTGCATCATCAATTTCATTTTATTTGAATCAAACTCTCTACCATGCATGGATCCGGATTTCTCTAACATGGACATTAGATATTTTAATATTATATATATAATAAGCAGATTAATCTAATATATGGAATGCCATGGTTTTACACTTCTTTTGTCCCGTAAACTCTAAGGTGTTAAGTACTCGTTGAATAGAATTTTTTATTATAGATCATATAAAACATGTGGTGCGATATTTATATGATTTTCTATTATTTATTTATTTATTTAACTTATATATATGGGATCTGGGTACGATCCCTGGCTAGGCTTGTATTTTTACTTTTTTCCCCACAAGTGTACGAGTAGGCTTGTATTTTTTCCATTTTATTTTGACAGGTGTGGGCGGTTTCCTCGCTGAACAGAAAAGAAACGAAAGAAAGAAATTCTACCCTTTTTTCCTTTTTATTAGATATCTATTCTTATATTTTTATATTTGATTAAGATTCATATTCCGGTTACTTAGAGTTAGAGATATCTAATTTGATTAAGATTCCTAGTTGTCCATATTATTATATTTTTCCTATTTGGATTAAGATTCATATTCACCAGAAATCAGAGAGATCTAATTGGATTAGGATTCATAGTTATATAAAGAGAAGGGCTATATGTGGTTAGTTAAGGAATGGCCGAACCAAAAAATAGATGCAGAGAAATTTTGCCTCTTTATTATTATGTATAGTTGGATATATACTGTATCAAACAGAGGTACATATTTTTTTCACGGCCGTGCCATCGTGACATGTATTTTATCATATAAGAGGAGGTAGAAAGATAAAGATACATGAGGTTGTCACGGTAATAATTCATATGGATCACCGGATAGAGTTAACGACTGCGATAAGGTAAGTTAAGTTGATATTGAAAGATGGATTTGCCACTCGTGAGTCGTGACTACAAAAGAAGCAGCAGCTCCTACTCGGCTTGATTATCATCTACCAGCACCTCTTAGATCTCGCAGTTCGTCATCATCAGGGCCCTGAAGGCCGTCCTCTTGGATACTAATAAAGAAGCTTCAAAAGTTGTTGAAAACTGGCGAAGGCCTTATAGTCAGACTCTTGTCCAATGTTAGCTAATCCCCACTATTTGATCATCACGTTGTGCGCTTGATCGGTTGGGTTGATGGTACACATATGTAGAGCCAAAAAAAATTTAACTCGAAAATTGTGATTTGAGAGATACCAGATACATACTCTTAGTTGGGCTCAAAACAAGATTTGCCCTTATTTATTAATGCATACTGATTTTGTGTCAATTGGTTTTCATTCGCCACAAAAATGAAATTGGTCTTTATTGTTTGCCATAAATTATATGATGAAACAAGATGTGAGACGAATACTTAGCGGACTATTTTTCTTATACACATGGCAAATTAAGCCATAATCTATCATGGTGGTGTGCATAGGCAACAGCCAAAAAATCTTTACAGTAGTAAGCTAGCTATACTGATATCGGCGCCTAACGCGGAAGCGATTG